AATAGGCGAGTAGTACTTCGGGAGAATACTACGAGTAATATTAACCTTGTCAACCAATAAATCAGATAAATTAATTAGAAAATTTAGGTAGAAGATTCAACGGAATTATTAGCTAATCCATAGCTCTAGAATATTTTCTCCCATTGAATCCGTCTCTAAGCTTGCCGACTTGTTTTCTATAACCGTTTAGTTGATTACTCTAGATTAGCTTTAGTTAAATAATCACACTTTAGAAAATCGCTTGAATAGATTAATTATCTTAGTTTAATTTAGTAAATAGTTAATCACAAGTCCTCGTGGGTACGATATCTGGAATTACAATCTTATATTACTTGTACGATTACGTATATTTGCGTGTGCGTTTGGGAGCAACAAGTTTTTGATGTCATTGCCGGGGACTTAGAAATTAACTATTTTACCAGATTGCATTTTTACCTTTTGTCTATTAAAGTTTTTTTTTTTATTTTAGCTTAGTTTAATATTTTATTATCTTTGTTGACATGACATCTTGGAATGAGAATTGGTCGAAATTTGTTATTCTTATTTTGGTAATCCTTGTCTATATTGTGGAGGACCACACTTGTGGCAAAATTGTGAGAATATTTCCCGGAGCGAGTTGGGTGCACCATCTCAATCTTTTGCGTGAGATATTTATAATGTGTGTGGTGGTCGAGGTGGCCATTGGGATGGTTGTCCTGATCCTTATTATCCTTCTTTGAGCTCTTCTTACGATTTTTCTAATAATGTTTATAAGTTTAATAGGATCAATGAAGTGGAGGATATAGAACGTGTTGCCCGTATTATGGACATGGTGAGGCAAGTAGCCGAGCAATAAGATGAAATTCAAAAAAAGACTGCCTTAGAAATCAAAGTACTGCAGGCTAGAATGGAAGAATTAATGGCCAATTTTCAAGAACGACCTCAACTCGATGAAGAGAGTGAGTTCCTACAAGAGGTAAAAGTTGAAGAAGCAGATATAGTGAGTCAATTTTGGCTAGAGGAACAAGCTCAACTAATATAATTTCACGGGGTTCTACGTAATATTCTTTCAAACATGGCAGAATAGCTGATAGAAGGGAGAACTGAGCTCGGGCAAGAGATAGATCAATTTGGCTCGGATATCCATGACATGTAGGCTTGATTGAATAATAAGATTGATGCGTCTGATGCTAGGCAATAAATTATTGTGGATACTGGCCAACTTGTGGAACAAAAACAGGAATTCCAACCATTCGACCACAATATTATTGACGATGCGAAGGTTGAGGAAGTGTGCAAAAGTGAGGATGTCAAAAGTAAAACGATTTTAGAGTTGGAGCGCATTGGACCTCATTCTAAACACTTTTCAATATTGTATTTGTTTGGTGACATGAGAATTGATCCATTCGAGCCTATGGAGGAGTCCCTCGTGTTATTTATTGTGTGCATTGCGATTATTTCACAATTTTAAGTTTGGTGTAAGGAGATTGTTTGGGTGATTGTTTGTGCTATTCTAGCTTAGTTGTAGTATTTTTTTCTTAGTGTAGTATAGTGGTTTTGCTAAAAAAGATAATAGAAAAACGAAAAAGAAAGAAAAGTTTAGACCTTTCCCGACGATGGATTTTGTGGACAGTTTTCTTGAGGGATAAGGTCCAATAAATTTTTTTAAAAATATTGACTTTTTGTTTCTAGTTAATTTTAGTTAGATAATAATACCCCTTGGTTTTTTTTTGATGCATTGGTTCTTTTTCATGGGATGTAGTTTGAACCGAGTAGTAGTTTTTTTAAATTTTAGAATAGATTAGAAATTTAGAAAATAAAAGGAGGAAGAATGATGTAATTTTAGGTGCCCTTAACTTGTTTGATAGTAGCATATTTAGGATTTGACATGTGTAGTATCTTCTCTATGTGTTTGAAGTTGAGCATGATGCCTTTATATATTGGATAGCATGTCTTATGTCATGGGCGGCTTTCTAGCCATGCCCCATGACCCCTTGGGCGCGCCCCGTGGTGTCCTAGCAAGCCTCCCAATGCCTAGCGCCACGGAAGGCCCCGTGGTCTTGGTCGCACCAAGTGACAAGCGCGCATGTGCCTCTATCACCCCACCAATATCCATCGCCAGTGCCTAGCCGCAGACAGATGCCAACAGCGTCACGCGCACAGACCTTGATGCCAAAGACAATGCTGCTGACAACGGACCTGTTTATGCCTTGTACAAAACTAAGTCCTTTTCATTGTAAACATAGAGTAGTTTTATTCCATGTACTTCCATTATGTTTCTCTAGCTTAATCAAGTCAAGTCTTGTAGTTTTGGTTTATTTTTTTTAAGCATTATTAGGGGGGATCAAGCAATCAAACTTTCTAGCAAGCAAACAATTCTCTGTACAAGTGTCTCTCCCCCTCAACACCGTGTTGCTTTTCTATAATAGCTTTCATTAATGCAATCAAGCTTTCTTTCATTCTCAATTATCATTTTTGTTCTCTCAATTGCTCTTGACATTGGTTTTCCCCTATGGCACTGACAATCTAGTCTAGCATACCGAGGGGATCTCAGTTGGCAGACAGTAACTGCATTGACATCAGTTGCTTAGCCTTATGTCGCCCTTCCAAGAAATCTCAGGAAGGCGCCGCGTAATAGTTGGTATCAAAGCCTAGGCTCGACATCGGACAAGGGAATGCATTGCCATTACCACCATTTCTAACCATGGTGAATCATGGGGACCGCATTGCGACCCTTGAACAGACGGTTGACGGATTACGGCCCATCGTGGGTACGGTTCCTGAACTAAGAACCAGCCTAGTGCAAAGGTTGGACGACCTGGACAGCAGGGTGCTCCAGGCCGAAGTTGACATAGAAAATATCAGTCGCGACTCCGAGGGAGACCGGCGAATGGCAGCCATAGAGGCAACCAAATTTTTTGGCAACTTCGAGGGACTCCAATAGGAGCGTGTCGAGGATTTAGCCTACATGGCACAAGAGGCAGACAGGGTGACTGCCATGCAACAAACTATTGACAACTTGACAGACCAGCTCAATGTTGTCAATGCTGCTTTACAGGGCCTGCTATGAGGAGGTGGAAACCAAATCGGGGGCGCTGTGAACCTCGCTTCCGCGACACAAAAATTGAAAATTCCCGAGCCAAATCCATACAGTGGAGCTAGGAATGCCAAGGAAGTGGAAAACTTCATCTTTGACATCGAACAGTACTTTGATGTTGTTGGGGGCCTAGAAGAAGCTAAGAAGGTAGCAACTGCGACCATGTATCTTCAGGGTGATGCTAAACTTTGGTGCTGGGTGAAGTACGAAGCCATCAAGGCCGGTGAAGATGCTTTTGAGGCATGGGCAGAACTGAATGTAGTCATACACCTATAGTTCTTCCCCGAAAATATTGAATACAACGCAAGGAGAAAGCTACGGGAGCTCCTCCAGACCAAATCAATGCGGGACTACATGCGGGAATTCTCCGCACTCATGCTAAACATACGCGACATGGGGTACAAAGACAAGCTCTTCACCTTTCTGGAAGGGTTGAAACCTTATTCCCGTATGGAACTGCAAAGGCAAAGGGTAGATACCCTACCCAAGGCGATCCAAGCAGCTGAATGCCTTGGGGACTATCAAGTGGAAGCTCAGAAGGATAGGCCTCAGCCGCCTGCCCGAGCGGGATTCAAAGGGGGCCAACCTAGCAATGGTGGCCCTAGAAGAAGTGGGGGAGATCAGAGTGCAACCAAATCTAAGGCTCCCTCCCTAGGCAGCAATAGTGTTGCGTCAAACAATAATGACCAGGGGAGAAAGCCTCCTTCAGGATGTTGTCATTGCGGCGGACCATATTGGAACAATGAATGCCCACATGCACAGATGAACACCCATCAAGTTCTTGATGACGAGACTGATGACGACTCAGACAATGCGGATCAGACTGAACCAGTAGGTGCCTTTAATGCAATTGTTGGATCTATTTCTGAGGCATTAGCGGAGATCAGTGTTGGTATCCATAAGAAGAAGGACCTAGGTCCAATCAACAAGAAAGGAAAAAAGAAGGCGGATGAGGGGACTCCTCTTAAACAAGACAGGACCTTAATGTTCGTCGAGATGAAGGTGAATGGCAAGCCCATTCATGTGATGATAGACACGGGTGCTACCCACAACTACTTAGCCTCAACTCAGGTAGAGCGCCTTGGTCTAGTTGTAGGAAAAGGTAGAGGTCGCATCAAGGCTATCAACTCACCTCCTCAGCCAGTGGGTGGAATAGCCAAAGAGGTACCGGTGAAGCTTGGCCCTTACGAAGGAAAATGCAACCTGCGAGTGGTGATCATAGACAATTTCTACCGGCGATTTGTGAAAAACTACTCCCTCATTGCAGTGCCATTGACAGAACTCCTCAAGAAGGTCACGCCCTGGGATTGGGGACCCAGGCGAGCGGAGGCCTTCAATGCATTAAAAGCGGCTATGTCTAGTAGCCCCGTCTTGGCCCTTCCTAATTTGGCCAAGCCATCCGACTATGCCCTCGGCGGATTATTGTTACAGAAAGGGCATCCTGTAGCGTACGAGAGCCGGAAGTTGAAGGATGCGGAGCGGCGCTATGCCGCCCATGAGAAAGAATTATTGGTTGTCGTCCACTACTTGCACCTTTAGAGGCACTATCTGCTGGGGACCCCATTCGTGGTCAAGAGAGACAACACAATTGTGAGCCATTTCATGACCCAACCGAAGTTGAATGGTCGAAAAGACATGTGGCAAGAACTCCTAGCCGAATTCCACTTCAACTTGGAGTACCGAAGTGGGAAGACCAATTATGTTGCTGATGCGCTCAGTCGGAGAGCTGATCTAGCATCGGTGTGCCTACTCGCCACCCTCAAGGGGAGAGAAGTAGCCACCTCCATCAAGGACCAGATACAGAATCTACTCATCAAGGATCCTGCTGCACAGTATTTGGTTGATTTGGTAGGACATGGCAAGACTCGTCAGTTCTACATGGAAGATGGTTTTCTGAAAGTGAAAGGGAACCGACTTTATATTCCTAAAGGAGGAGATCTACGAAGGACTCTTCTGACGGAATGTCATGATACTCTGTGGGCTGGCCATTCCGATGAAGAACGCACCATGGCGTTACTTCGCCATGCATATTATTGACCCCAAATAGCCGATGACATTGCTCAGTATGTGAAGACTTGTCTAGTATGCCAGAAGGATTAGTCGGACCGCTTGACACAATCGGGACTCTTGGAACCACTAGTTGTCCCAAAGAGACCTTAGAAAAGCGTTTCCCTGTATTTCATCACCGTATTGCCCAAGGTCGGAGATATCACAACCATCTTGGTTGTGGTGGATCGGTTTTCCAAGTATGCTACCAGAGGCGTATCCAGGATTTTAAGAGAATGGGTGCACCGTTAAATTTTTATAGACATTGGTATGATATAGGAACAACAAGTATAATTTTAAAATGACAATAAGTTCATGAGCAAACTATAATTAATATTATAGTCACACAAAAAAAACATCATTCACTTTACAATTGTCCTCGACGAGTTTTCATACTTTGAAAACGGTTAATAATAGCATCATTACTTACAGTCTTAAATATTCCACGCTCTATATAGCAAACTAAATAATTGTTTAAAAAATCTTCATCCATCCTATTGCGTAGATTATTTTTTATGTACTTCATCGATGAGAATGCTCTTTCCACACTTGCGGTAGCAACAGGTATAATCAAAGTCAACTTCACAAGTAAATATACATGTGTCCAAGTCTGATCAACTTTTGTCTCAACCATAACTCTAGCAAGATCTTTAATTCCTTTCAAGTTAAGAAACTTGCTATCACACTTTTGAGCATAGACAATGAAGGTGTCGAGTTGAAAACCAAGTTCCCGAAGCTTGTTTTCATCAAATTCACTTGGATAATACTTGGCCAGTTTCATTATCTTGTTCTTGTCAAAATTTGCAAATGAATCAACCGGACTCAAACTAGCCATACCAAGGAGTAAGTCACTAGTCACTACATCAAAACGGCTATTAAGCTCTTGAAGCTCTAAATCAATAACGGCATAAAATACTTCCACACGAAAGTGATGTAAATAGGAAACTTCGGATCTCTTACGTTTCGACTTTCCAATAACATAGTCTTCATCCATGTTGGGAATTGCAATTTCATGTTTACTACAAAATGAGCAAACCTCCTCCATCAAAGAGTCCCATTCCTCTTCTCTCATCTTTTGTAGTCTTTTCTTTGCAAGGTCAAGCATTCCCATAGCACTAACAATATCTTGATCTTTCTTTTGTAGAACTTTGTTCAATTCATTAGTTAATAGCAACACCTTAAACATCAAGTTCAACATAAATACAAATGCAAATTCTTGAATCATGCTCAAAAGATTTTGTGCGGCAAATCTATCAAGATGATATAGACACTCATGTTTCATACTTTAAGCACATTAACAATTGAAGAAAATAAAACTATGAAATTGTCCAAGGTCTTATAATGAGACCCCCAACGAGTATCACCCGGTCGTTGGAGGCCTCGTTCTTGATTCAAACCTTGTCTGGTAAGAACTTCTCCAACTTTAATCAACTCTTCCAATTTATCCAATTGATGTTGCCGAAGTGAAACCCTGCGCTTAAAAGAAGCTCCAATAGTATTCAAAACATTAGTGACAACATAAAAAAAACTATCCACATCCGAATGCTTTTTAGAAAGAGCTACAAGTGCTAGTTGCAATTGATGAGCAAAACAATGAATAGAATATGCAGACGGAGTATCTTTCAAAATCAAAGATTTGAGGCCATTTTTTCCCCCTTGCATATTACTAGCACCATCATAACCCTGTCCACGTATCTTGGATGGACTTAATGAATGTTTCAAAAGCAAAGAATAAATCTCTTTTTGTAATGGTTGGGAAGATGTGTCACTCACATGGACAATACCCAAGAATCGCTCTATAATCATTCCACTTTTGTTGACATATCTCAAAATTAGAGCCATTTGCTCCTTATGTGAGATGTCTTTTGATTCATCAACTAATATTCCAAAAAAATCACCACCCAAGTCTTCGATAATAGCTTTAGTTGTTTCTTTAACACAAGCTTCCACAATCTCTTTTTGAATTGTCGGACAAATCATCATATCATTTTGTGGAGCATGGCGTAATATTACTTTTTTCACATCCGGATGCATATCGCCATGCCATTCCAAAAGTTCAAGAAAAGGGCCTTTATATTCAAAATCTTTACTTTCATCATGTCCACGAAATGGAAATCCCGATCTTAAGAGAAACCTTGCCACATCTATTGAGGCTTTTAAGCGCATACGATAATCAGTTTTTACTTTTTCGTTTTGCTTGTCAAAAGAAGAAAGAATCGATTGACGTTGATTTTTCAAATCATGCATCCTATTAAAACACTTATGATGGATATTGTTCACATCACCAACATGTGCCTTAAGTCTTTCCACGGCTTTGTTCCAATCTCTAAAACCGTCTTTTGTAAATGTATCTCCCCCGTTACCACGATTTTCGAGTTCATTCTTGAATAAATAGCAACATAAACAAAATGCAGCATCCGCTTTAATGCTATACTCCAACCATTGAGAATATGGTCCTTTGAACCAAGTGGGACAAAATTGACGCATTTTGTTCCCAAACTTAGTTTTAGGAAAGACATGGCCTATTGGTTTACAAGGCCCCATTTGAATATAATATCTCCTCACTTCATCTCGAATATTAGGACCATAACTCGAAATAGGTAATCTTTCTTTGGGATCCACTTCAAGAGATTCCAAATTAAGCTCTAAATGTGGGGAAGGATGTGTTTCCCTTTGAATTTCTGGATTTATTTGTGAACTCGCAGATGGCTGACTAAAACTAGAGCTTGGTTGGCCAACATTTAGCTTGATGAGAAATTTATCCATTTCAATGTCAGGATTACCTTTCCTACAAAATCAAAATTTCACAATTCTACTCAAACTGAATCCAAAAAAATTATAAAAGTACAAATCAATCACAATCACAAAAATCACAAGTTCACAATTAGAAGAATTACAAGTTACAAGTAGTGGGCAACTATTTGGGAATAAGAAAGTTAATGTCATTTTTTAAGAAGTGCAGCAACAAGCCATCAATAGTTTCAGTACTTTTAAAACAAAAAATTCAAGCAAATATGGATAGGGTAATATTGACAAGAATGACATTACTCTGAGAAGATAAAGAAGTGAAGAGGAAAAGAGAAATACCAATTTTGAAGAGCTGAAGACGAGATTTAAAGCTTGTCGATGCCGACTATAACACTTCTTCCCGTTCTTGACTGTCAAAATAAATTTTAAACATTCAAATAATCAATAATATTTCAACCCAACTTCAGTACTTCACAAATCAAAGAAAAAAGATAAGAAACAAAAGAAGCAGTAAGATTGATAAAGAAATTGGAAAAATATGTGACCTTAGTTTGCAAAAAAATTGGTATTTTGCTGTTGTAAAAGACTTGGGGCTAGAGAGTGTTTTCTGGAGAGGTGCTTTTGATTTAGGGATTTTGAAAAGTGACTAAAGAAGGAGTTGTGCACTACTATTAGGTAATAAAAAGAGGAAAAGAAAAAAAGAATTGTCTCTGCTAAAGGAGCAGAAAACTTTACATGGTGGGCCAGGAGCATGGGATGTACCCAATTTATTAATTATTAAAAAGTAAAATAATGGATAATTTTAAAAGAAGAAACGTGGGGAATCAAACTACTGACCTGGTAAATGGAAGGTGCACTCCTCTACCAGTACACTATAATGCTCACTTGAGGGTGGGTTCACCCATACAAATTTAAGTGTTTTATGTTAAAATTTATTGTTGCTATACACAGTTTAGGGAGAGGAGGATGGGTTCACGTGACCCACCCCCTCCCAAGTAAATCTGCCCTTGTATGCTACCGTTATAGCAGCCCCACAATATATATCAGCAGAAGATACAACTCGACTCTTCTTTTCTCATGTCGTCAAATATTGGGTCCTGCCCAAAGACATTGTTAGTGATCGCGACTCACGCTTCACTAGCAACTTTTGGACCCAACTCTTTAAGTGCCTTGGGTCAAAATTGAGTCACAACTCAAGTTTTCATCCACAATCTAATGGCCAGACGGAGCAGTTCAATGGTTGTTGATACCCAATTTTTCTCTCATATATTTTAAATATGCATGCATACTTTCAAAATATTGTACATGAATTTACAAACATGCACAAATATTTTTACAATTTTTCTATAATTTTTAAAGGCCTTAAATCAATTTAGTTCTGTATTTTTAATTATATAAATATTCAATAATTATCCCTCATATTACTTTATGATGATTTAATCGTCTAAATTCATCATTTATGCTCATATAAGTGTTCAAATATTTTAATTGCATTTTTACAATCACATTTGCATTTTTGGCTAGAATTATGTATTTTTGCAACAATAGCCTATATATATGCACAATTATATTATCCATGCAGAAAATGGCTTTTCATATTTTTATAATATTAAGTAAGTATTTTAAAACATTTTCACACATAAATCACATTTTTATCATATATAAATTATTTTACTGAATTAATCGAGTATTTAAAATCTAGCCCCTAGAAAATACTAATTTTCGGACCCAAAAACCAGACCAAATCCCTAACCCAATTTACCCAAGCCCAAAGGCAATTAGACCCGACCTATACTCCTCTAATCTTGGCAGTTGATCTCTGCGATCAACAACCCACATTAGTTCTTACCATTCTTAACCCTAAAGACCCCCCCCAACCTCTCATTCTCTCTTCTCACCCTGTCGTCACCCCTTCCACTTCTCTCTTAGATGCTCTCTAATCCTAACCCTAACTCTCCCGCACAGTCACTCATCCACCACCGTCCATGGTGGTTTCTCACCACCTCTAGGCCTCTAATGGCCTCTCCTATGCTGGGTACCGCCGTCTCTAAGGTCCTCGAGGGACCAGGGTCAGTCCGCTTACACCTTTGGCCCCTTCTTGCTTGTTTTAGTCCATTCTGGTTCGATTTTGAGTAAGATCTTCCTATTTCACCTTAAACCTATGGATTTCTAAGCCTATGTCTTCATCTCTGTGTTATTTTTAAAAAAAACCTAGTTTCGTCCTTCGAACTTCTCAGATCTGTACAAGATCTAAGTTGGGTTGAACTTATTTCACATGATTTTTGTGAAAATGTTTTGATTTTCGAGTTGCTTTTCACTTTCCTAAACTAGGGTTTCCTGAAAATCTTTTTCCTCAAAAAGTTTTCTAGTTTTAAGTGTTTCATCTTCTATTCTTATGTGTTTTTGACGGATTATGTTGAGTTTGCCTCAACCCTAACTAGTTTATGCTAAAACTCTAATTTTTTGACATTTTTGCTTAGATTCTGAATCTTTCCGTGTTACTGGCTACATTGTTTGGTCTGTGTTTTGACTTGCATGATTTTCCTTAGTGTGATTCAGTATTTTGTGACTTCTACCCTAGTTCATCTCGACTAGGGTTTCTTAGTCAATCTCTTGCCTAATTCATGTGTGTTCATGAAGTTTTGTTCAGCCTACTCATCTATTTGTGGAAAACTGATATTTTTCCCTCTCTTTAAACCAGTGTTATTTTGAATTTCGATTTACTGATTTGCTTGGTTAAAAGTTACGTGCTGATTCTTGATTTATTCCATTGTTTACGGCTCTAATTATTCTTATTACCTTATTGTCTGCAATGTTACTGATTATTTCCTTAATTAAACTTCTGTTTGTTTACCTCGTTACTTAGGTCTAATTTGATTTTTTTTCCTTAAGTGACTCATGTCCTTTAACCGTTGGGTATTTGTCCTTAATTGAAGGGATATTATGCTAACTTCATGTGTGATTGATTTTGTAATTTCCATGATTGCTGAATTATGATTTCTTTACCTTATTCTGCTCCACTCCTAAACTGCTATATATACTCTCTCTTACTATCAGTTCAAGACGAACATTAGTTCATCAATACTCTCACACTCTCAAAAGCTCTCTATTCTATTATGTTACTTGAAATTCTCACTAACCTAGCCGGTTGTTAGCCAAGGCTAGCTATTTGCACCATCTCTGCTCTATACTCTGTATTCTCTCCTTACCTGGTATGTCCTGATTCAATTCAAATTCCAAAACTATGTGTTTCCTTGTTGTTTCAGTTCATTAGTTGTAACTTCCAATCCTGTTTATTATTCTACTATCATGATTGCTCAATGTGTAAATAACATGCCAAATACTGCCTTATTCAAATATGTAATTAGCATGTCTCCTCTATGCTTTCCTGTTTACTATCTTGTTTAACATGTCTTACACTGTCCTATTCCACATGTGACTAGCATGTTTGCCTGACTACTGCTTATTTAGCATGCCTAAACTTTGTTTTTTGTAAGTGTGTGATTAGCATGGCTACACTTGTTAATACTTGCCTAGCAGGTCCATTTCAGTTCTTGCATGTTCTGTCTTACTTTTACTAAGTCATCTAGCTCTTTAAAAGTATTCTAGTTGTGTGTATTTGTCATGTCCAAGATCTATGTGTCCTCAACATGTTTTTGGCTATAATCTTCGTAACTAACTTGTCAATTCTACAACTGCTTGAGAAGTTTGTACATCTGTTTGCTTATACACTAGGGTATATTCTATGTGTCCCTATCCCCTCTCTCTCCATGTGTGGAGTCTGTTTGCCCCAAAATGTTCTGAAGCTGTTTGTTTTGTGACTTGTATTCTGATTTCAACAAAAATGTTTTTCATGCTTTTCTCAAACTGTTTTACCGCCCTAACTATTACTGGTTTCAAAAAATCTCTTTACTCCTAAGGTCCTTCTTTATACTGTTTACCAAAACTCTTTCAAATCATGTCAAACACTCTCACTTATTCTTAGGTTATTAAGTTCTGCCCCTTTGGTATGTGTACTTCTTAGAGGTCCCTGAGATCTCTCTGAACTCTGACATATCAGGGTTGGCACTTCCACACTGCACATAAATCAGTCCTTATTTGAGGAAGGTCTGGGTACGAGCACTGCCCGGGATCCTTGAGGTCCTTAGGGAACTCTGACACACCTAAACATGAAATTGTCTATGAAACTTTGGGCATCTGAGACTACTGAAGGCTTGGAAATTACTTTGGGCCTACTTCAGGCTCCCTATAGCTTAATGTATATTTATATTTATGTAATTTATTCAATCCTTGGTCTGTAATAATTAATTTAAAAAAATATTTGGGTGACTAGTAAAAGGGAGGGTAGTTGTATACTGTGGGTAAAGTTAGGTAGATAACATGCCTATAGGGTTCATTTTGGTTCAAATGTGTTTTGTTAGATAATATGCCTATAGGGTTTTGCTTTGGTTCAAATAAATTCTGCCTTCTTTACTTTACATGATTAGACACCATGCCTATAGGATCTAAAATCAGTTTTAATTAGAAATCATGCCTATAGGATCTAAAATCAGCTTTAATTAGAAATCATGCCCATAGGATTTAAAAATCCATTTTAATTAGAAATAATGCCTATAGGATCTAAAACCAGTTGTAATCAGAAATCATGTCTATATGATCTAAAATTAGCTTTAATTACAAAGAAATCATGCCTGTAGGTTCTGAATCAGTTTAATCAATTATCCTACTCATTTCTTTAATAGCCTCCAGCGCTGTGTTAATTAATATCACTAGAAAGCATAGGATAAATGACTTCAAATTGTCTCTTCAGAAATGTGACTGCATATATGCACTTAGGCAAGCCTTAGGGCGTTAAATAACTTTGAAGCCGGTTCTGTTTATATGTGAAGTTATCCAGGTTTAACAAGCTGTAAAACCAGTAGGCAAACTGGTTAGGATCCTGCTACTTCCCTAATAAAACAAACACTGCATGTTCTATTTTTGTGATGTTCATCTAGATATCACGTTCTTAGGATTTC